ACACACTCTCAGAAACAGTAGAACCCCCCTTGGTTCCTGACGATGGCTCTGTGCATGTGTTGCGCTGCAGGTCTGGATGGGCTCTCTGAGCGCTGTGCGCAGTACAAGAAGGACGGTGCAGACTTCGCTAAATGGCGCAGCGTGCTGAAGATCAGCGAGAACACACCCTCTGAGCTGGCCATCATGGAGAACGCTAATGTTCTGGCACGATATGCCAGCATCTGCCAGCAGGTCGGTGTGAGATTAGTCAGGCTTTTAAAAATATTATTTGCGATCAAATGTGGTATTTGAGGACCCTATTGGCCATTCAAACCAATTCTTAGTGTATCTGAATATGAATTTGCCCTAACTTTATACTTTTGAATGTCTTGTAGAATGGCATTGTTCCTATTGTGGAGCCCGAGATCCTTCCTGACGGAGAACATGACCTGAAGCGCTGCCAGTACGTCAGTGAGAAGGTGAATTGAGTGACTTTATAAAACACAAAACAGTGAATACGGCCCGTAAAGATGTCCCCACACGTTCGTAACAATGCTCTCTCAGTCCTTTGACCAACATCTCGTCTCTCTGCCGCTGCTCAGGTCCTGGCTGCAGTGTACAAGGCTCTGTCAGACCACCATGTGTACCTGGAGGGGACCCTGCTGAAACCCAACATGGTGACACCTGGACACTCCTGCCCCACCAAGGTCAGCCACGAGGAAATCGCCATGGCAACCGTCACCGCCCTGCGCCGCACCGTGCCCCCTGCAGTCACAGGTCAGAGACCAGATCGATTTAGGAAATTAAAGTTAACAATATTTAATGTGAATAAACGTTATCTTCTTAACAATGTTACAAAGTGCTTTAAACAAAGATAAAATGGTAAATTGAATTAGAAATGAAGATTAATTCATTAAAATAGCATAAATCAGGGAAAGTGTTAATGGGATAAATTGTCTGGGATCTGTAGATACAGTATTTAAGAGATGTGTGCATGTTTTAATTCTTGGTCAAATCTTCATTACGTGATCTTTTTAATTAGAGAATGATGAACATATGTATATTAAATATATATACTGTAATTACACTTGCTGCTATAGTTAGACCCTCCAGAAAAACGTGGGCAAAAATCCTTGATTATGCGGGCTAAAATCCTTTATGCGATCAAACATGCAGAGTTTTATGTGATTTTATGCGGTGAAATTGCGGGAAGTTGCGAAATATGCGGGGAAAATAAATATTGGGATGTTTTATTTATTTATTCTCTCTCACACACAACCTGCCACTAACGTTAAACCCCTTTACCATTCAATTAAACACATTCAATGTTTATTTATTGTAAAAGCAATTGGGCTATTTTAATCACACTCACTCTCACACACACACACACACACACACACACACACACTTCTCCGCCTCATTCTGTTTTCATTTACTCGTTCGTTATCTGACCAGCTTCAATCTTGTAGGCTTCTCACCTCGTTTCTTGTAGCCCTCGAAAGGGTTTTGGAGGTTGATGCCTCGGTGAACGTGAGTTGTTTGGCTTTCTTGTCCGCAGCAGCAGAAAGCATGTTCGAATGTTTGAATTAATCAAAGTGGGTCGTCACCGTCGATGTTCTCTTATGCTCCAACACACAGTTGCACGGGGTGCAGAATAGTTTCCCCCCACTTTCATGCAAGACATCGGGGTACTGCTTTGCCCGGTCTTTAGCAGAAATGTTCGTCGGTAAATGAGATGGATTAGATTTTTTCATCTTGGTGAAGAGAAACTCTCGTGTGAGCTCCACACGTTCACTCTACGGTGTTGTTTACCTTCTGTGATGCGCGAGCTGATGACGAGATCATCAGCATCATCACTTCACGTCAAGACGAGTTAACTTTTTTTTCTTCTCAATTTTGTGTGGAAAAATGCGGGGATTATGCAGCCTTTTGATAAATATGCGTCTTTTTAAAAATCTGCGCCATTTTGCTGATTATGCGGTAAATTCTGCGATCGCAGAATCGCGTTTTTCTGGAGGGTCTATATAGTATCCATTATGTATTGTATAATTAATTTTATGGTACAATATTTCTGAAAAAACCCTTATGAAATGATACAACAGAAATCCCCACTCTGACATTCATGGCTCCTACAGTTTTATTCTTATGTCATGGTTAAAAGAATAAAACATTGTATGAAGCCAGATTTGAAAAAATAACGTGTATATTTGCTTGTTTCTGTATTTTCTTAGGAGTGACATTCTTATCAGGTGGCCAGTCCGAGGAAGATGCCAGCATCAACCTTAACGCCATCAACAACTGCCCCCTCGCCAAGCCCTGGGCTCTGACCTTCTCGTACGGCCGCGCCCTGCAGGCCTCCGCGCTGAACGCATGGAGAGGAGAGCTGAGCAAAGAGAACGCCGCCACCGAGGAGTTCATCAAGCGCGCCGAGGTCAGACACATCTTCGCAGAATATTAGAATGAAATAAAGTTTCTTCGTGCAAGATTGTTAATATATTCTTTTTGTCTCTTATTCAGGCTAACAGTCAGGCCGCTCTCGGCAAGTACCAGTCTTCTGGAAGTGGTACCGCCGCAGGAAAATCTCTCTACGTGGAAAATCACGCCTACTAAACACCCACCACATTCAACTGTGGCGTATAGTTATAGTCTTATATCTGCTCTGCTATTTCCCCTCACTCCTCCATAACTCACAGGCCTGTGCTGTCTACTGTACTTTAGAGTTGTTAAAGATTACATGATTAGTTATGTGTACTTAAAAACATAATGTGAAACTAACATACTAAAGGGAACAGGCTTGTTTCTTTTTCTATTTAACCAAACAAATCAAAACTGCTTTGAGACAATGTTGTGACTGAAAATGATTGTCATATGTGATCAGAAGTCAAATGTGAAAAATAGATCAAGATAATCAGTCAGTATTCAACTCATGCCTCTTCTTCCTGTCTCCACACCTGGTGCCGTCTCCCTTTCTCCCCCACATGGTAACTCTCAAGCCACTCCCAAGCTTGGAACTGTCTGTGTCGGTGTTTCGCTTCTGTCAAAATGCAGTACTAGCTCATCCCTTAAGCGCTATACTAACATCCACCGTGACAGTGGGACCAAGCGATCATTAGTGGCTTCAGTACATCCGTTAAGGCCCGAGAGGACGAGACAAACAGTGTGAAGATGTCGGCTTTTAAAGATTGAGTTGGCGTGACTGTCTAAAAGTGCAAAGTGCTTGTTGTTCGTTGAGAAAGCCGTAGCTCCAGCAGCGGTCAGTAGACCCTCGCCAGGATTCGTCCTAATCTTTCTGTTCTCACGCTTCTACTTACTACTAATTAGAGAAACATCTTGTGTGTCTATTCTCAGTATAACATTATCTTTTAATTACATAAATTAATCAATGTATTCAGTTGTGTGAAGGCGTCAATATTATGTGATGATTGTGTCATCTCCCCGCCCCCCCACTGATTCCCCCGGTCAGCCCCACAAGATGAGATGGCTACTGCTGAGATTATGTGGACCAATACGTGTGGTTGGCAGCGGGGGAAACAGTCACTGCTGTGTTGGGTTACCGTGATGTTTGTGATGTTAATATTGTTCTTGAAGCACTTGTGTTGAATAGTGGAGAAAAATAAAACTTTAAAAAATAGCAAAGCGTTGCCAGAATTTATTACTGCTATTCTTATGGTGTCCATAAATAACAAATGAATTATCTGTGGATGCATTTGTATTCTTCTTGTCACATCATTCATGCAATTGCCTCCTTGTATCACAATGTTTATCCAAATGCATTGTGCAGCCATTTTATTTACAGTTAGTTTAATATAGTTTTGAAAGAAATATTTAGATTGTTTATTTAAATAAAAGTAGGGTATTTTAGTAAAGTAGTTTTATATTGTGTATTAATTAGAAGATGAACCTTTATTATTTTTTTTCTTTACTCTGGTTTATATATTTTGTAAAAACACAGTTTTACACACAGTTCACAGATGGGTGCACACATGCATTGTAGAGAGGTGCCAGGGAGCAGTTTAGTTACCTGTTAACCTCTTAAATCATGCATTTTAAATGTACATACACTAATACAAAGCTGGTCAGAAATCTCACCTTTCAAACATATCTGGTTCGTTATTTGTATTGGATTGGATTGTAAGGAACATTGTTGCTCCTACACTTGTGAGACAAAGTGGACAAAATAAGCAAAACACTGCTCAATGTGATACAGACCAATACATCAAACAGAAATAGCCTCAAAATGTATGTGGTTTAAATTAGTATTTTTGTGGCCTCTTTTATCCATTTATCTATGTAGAGTTAAGTTATTGGAAGAAAACAAAGTGTCGGGAAAGTATGTACCTCAGGAATAATTATCACAATTACCTAAAAATATACACAGATGGTTCTAAGAACAAGGAAGAGTGTGTTGGAGTTGGAGATATATCCCAGACTTTAAAATATCGATCTCAAAAAGAGCGTCAGATCTATCAGTGTACACAGCAGAAATGCTGGCAGTAATAATAGGATTACAGTGGGTTGAAGAGGTCAGACCAGATAGGGTGGTGATATGCACAGATTCATTATCCATATTAAAAAGCGTAAAGTCAACAACTGTCAGAGAAAATATACTCATAGAACTTAACCATAGCTTGTTAAGACTTCACAGAGGCGGTATCAGTTCTGCTGGGTGCTTGCTCATGAGGGGGTAAAAGGGACCGAGTGTGCTGATAAATTAGCAAAAAGTGCATTACAAAAAGAAATAACATTAACATTCAACTTGGAAAAGGAGAAGGAAAAGCAGTAATTAAGAAAAAAAGGATGGAGGGGGGGGGGGTGCTAGTGGAGCCTTGCAGCGGCGAAACTGTGCCGCGCCTAATTGCTCCGCATAAGCAAATAGCTATAGGCCCCACGCAGTCTGCGTGATTTGCCTGTAGGGAGGGGCGGCCCCCTGGATACGTCCATGAGTTGAGTGATGGAATGACATGATTATATACACACACTCATGTACAGTAGGTGGCGGTATGCAACTAAAAGCTGTTTGCGATCCGCCATTAAAAAAGAGAAGAAGAAGACGTTTCGGGAAACCTTTGAGCCACCTCATACCTCATACGCAAGAGGGGGTGCTAGATCGTATACCTCCGAACATCACCGTTGTGTAAGTGTCCGAGCAGAAGAGAGTCCCCGTCCGCCGACATGCTGTCTCTCTTGCGGCTCTGCGCTCCAGCGAGGACTCCTGTGTGTGTTCTCACAGGATGTTCCCGTGCGGCCAGCGGATCGGTGAAGGACAAGCAGCCGCTGAAGAAAGCTAAAACCCCGCAGGGACGCCTGGACAGCCCCGAGGAGGAGAGCAGGGCTGCTCTGCAGAAGTTCCCTGATGATGTGAACCCTGTCACCAAGGAGAAGGGGGGCCCTCGAGGTCCGGAGCCCACACGTTACGGAGACTGGGAGAGAAAGGGTCGTTGTTATGACTTCTAGTTCAGTACTTATAAATGAGACATGTTACACCCTTCGTTATGCAGATGTGGAGCTATGTTGGAGTTTCAGATGAGAAGATCGAAGAAAAACTGACTTTGTGAGCATATCGAGGGAACAACCTTCAGCAGGCATCATGTGTGTGTGTCCTGAGTCAGCTAAAAGCAAATAAATATCCTGAAAATTAGTTGAATATGTGTTGCTGCGAAAGAGATAGGCTATGTTCATTCTCTAGGCTGAATGTTAAGATCGCCGAATCTACACCATCAGCTTTATTTAGAGGCTCTTGGTCCATTTTTTAAAAAGACATACAACACTCAAATATAAATTTAAAAAAAGGCAGTTATACCAATGTTTCCACAGAGGTGACCTATCGTGCAGCACTGAGACACGGATTTGAAAGCAGCATAATGACAGTTATGAGAAACTTTCAATCGACAGATGAATTTGTACATCAGATTTCTCAGCATGGAACGTGCATTACAAAACATTTCACTTGCACTGCACTACCTTGGTTTTTTGGCAAGACAGTAGTGACGGCCATCTTGGTGTTGGTGACGTGTGTTGTGCAAGACCAGAGATGTAGTTAATTGAGCGGTTTCACACCAAAACCAGTGTTACTTCACAGTTTTACGGCAAATTTAACGTGCACAATTTTAAATTGACAAACATCATATGTGTAATTCATGGCACAATTCAAACGGGATCGAAAGTTAATTATTCTCGCCATTGACTTCAATACATAATTTTTCCGAGGGACTTCGACTCTGATCACTCTGGGTAGATAATTAAACACATCTGCTGCCTCATGGGAATCCAGTTCCTAAATGGTACATTACTCTGAAATAAAGAAAGGTAACTTCAGTTGATGAGGCTTATTGTTACCTCTCTGTATTGTTCCATCTCCCTCGGGATGAGTTTCAGGCAGTGTTTGCAGAAGACACACATGGGGAGTAACTAGTTACATGTAGTAGACTAGTAACATTTGATTTACAAATTGGTTTCATCTCAATACAGTAACTCCTGGGCTCTGAGGAAGGCACTGAACTGCTCACTTGCAACTGGCACCTCTAAAAATGCATGTGTTTGTGCATATCTGCATATGAGTGTGTTTGTACTGGTACTGTGTATTAATCAAACAGAGGCCCATTCCCAAACCGCCCCCTACACCCTATCCCTCCGTTTGCGCGGAGGGTCCGCCATATTGAGGGCTGTTCCAAAGCAACGAGTGTGGAGCATGGTGTGGAGGGGGAGTGGGCTATCAAGCCCTCAAACAGCGAATCTGCATCGGTGCTGACTTGAGACCGGTCTCTACCACGCTGTGTGTGTCCGTCAGGAAACAAGCTGTTTACAAGTAGCTCCAGCAAACATCCACGGATAAACTGCGATGTTAACAACCTCATGATGGCCTCATATGTTTTAACTTGGGATCATTCCAAGCCTTCAGGGGCAACGGGAAGGAAACGAAAACAAGAACAGGAGGAATCGAAAGTCAAAGACGTCGGCTTGTGTAAAAAATAAAAAAGTCAGTATGTACTGTACCGTTAGACATTTGATTTTAAGCTAGCTAGCTAAGGAGGTAGCCTGCCCATGATACAGCTTTGATGACTGCGGTCAACTCAGCCGTCTCTCAAATTTGCTTGGTCAAATGAGCAGTTCTTCATTTTTGAGTGCGCGATTTATGATTTGTTTCCATAAGTTCTCAGTGAAAGTGGTACTGCTGGACAGAGTACTACTTGGACTACTGCCACACAAGTACAATCAAGTACTTTTATCGTGTACTTTTTGAGTAATACCCCGTCAAACTCCCCTCCAGAGTACAATAATGTATGTTTTATGCCATCTTTGATGAGAGATAAAATGATTTGTTTGCCATAAGTTATCAGTGAAAGTGGTACTGCTGGACAGAGTACTACTTGGAGTACGACCACAAGTACAATAAAGTATTTTTATCGTGTACTTTTTGAGTAATACCCTGTCAAACTCCCCTCCAGAGTACAATCATGTATGTTTTCTGCTACAGGGATAACCACTTGGAGCTTTAATGCTCTCAAGACTGTGGACTTTAGGAAGAACGCAGCCCCACCCGCCCCCATCACTCTGTGACTCTCCAGTCACTGCTGTGAAGTCTTTCCGCTTCCTGGGCACCATCATCGCTCAGGAACTCAACAACAAATGGCCCAGATTTGTACTATAGAAACTCGAAATCTTGTAATGTAGGAAACAATTCACACTGGTTGCCATGTGATATAGGCTTTGTTTTTGCAATATTTATTCAACGGTCACTTCTTAGTTAAACAAATCTCAAATATAGATTTTAAATATATCAAATTGAGCATATAAATGAAAACTATTTCACAGCAACCACATCCCCTGCTTTTTGGAAAAGTCTGGTGTCCCAGTCCCCAGCTGGTGCCTTTAAAAATATATATATAGAACATACAGCAACCGCATGTTCATGCACATACATTATTTGTCACACAGAGAGCAAACCCAGTCCCCAACATAAAAAAAGGTTTAGTCAATATAAGATTTTTGCCCAAAACAGCTGAAATTGAACGTAAACAATATCAAACATCAGGTGCATGGCAATTAACACATTTGTGCACGCTATTAAAATGTACTTTAGTTGAAGTTAATAATAATGTTGATTTTAAGATCTTTCTATAGCATTGATTTAATCTTTCTGAACACTTTTGAAATAAAACACAGCAGAATGAAGATTTATTTTATAATGTTCATTACAGATAATCCCTTAATTTCATTTTGAAAACACGTGTCAACTGTATTAATACAGATGAAAAGCTTTTATTAGGAGGATCAATTCGTATTGGGCTTCAATGACTCTTGATGAAGGCAGTATTATGATTGCTTGTATTTATCATCAGAAATTTAATATTTTAAATAAGAAGTGACCTTTGAATAAATATTGCAAAACAAAGCCTATATAACCTGGAAGGCTAAGCCAATTAGTATTTTGTCCTGCACTACAACATTTCAAGTTTCTATAGTACAAATCTGGTCCATTTGTTGTGTCATTTCTCCAAACACATACAGTACAAATGCCTGTTTTGGAGTCTTCAAAAGGTGCAGAAGAAGGACTTTACATTTTGTTAAAGACAGGACTATTGTAATTCAGTCAAGAGAAGAGACAAGAGAATAAAGGAAAGACTATTGTTATAATGGGTGATGTAACTTTAATGAGAGACATAATATGAGGTCATTGGTACTCAGACTATACAAGGATCGTTTTTTGATCATGGGGACTGAGCCTTGTACAGGGAAAGTGTGCTGGAAATACTCCAAAAGTACACGATAAAAGTACTTGATTGTACTTGTGGCACTAGTCCAAGTAGTACTCTGTCCAGCAGTACCACTCTCACTGAGAACTTATGGCAAGAAATCATTGTATCTCTCATCAAAGATGGCAGAAAACATGCATTATTGTTCTCTGGAGGGGTGTTTGACAGAGTATTACTCAAATAGTACACAGTAAAAGTACTTAATTGTATTTGTGGCAGTAGTCCAAGTAGTACTCTGTCCAGCAGTACCACTCTCACTGAGAACTTATGGCAATAAATCATTTTATCTCTCATCAAAGATGGCAGAAAACATACATTATTGTACTCTGGAGGGGAGTTTGACAGGGTATTACTCAAAAAGTACACGATAGAAGTACCTGATTGTACTTGTGGTCGTACTCCAAGTAGTACTCTGTCCAGCAGTACCACTTTCACTGAGAACTTATGGCAAAAAATCATTTTATCTCTCATCAAAGATGGCAGAAAACATGCATTATTGTTCTCTGGAGGGGAGTTTGACAGAGTATTACTCAAATAGTACACAGTAAAAGTACTTCATTGTATTTGTGGTAGTAGTCTAACAAGTAGTGAGTCCAACAGTACCAATTGTATTAAGAACTTATGGCTAAAAATCATTTTATCCCTCATCAAATATCATTGATTGATTGATCAAATATAACATTAGCTCTTGTACTACCGTCAGCGCCGCTTCTCGGCGATTACCGTAAAGACGCTATTAATCGCGCACTCAAAAATGAAGCGCTGCTTATTTGACCAAGCAAATGCGAGAGACGGCTGAGTTGACCGCAGTCTTTGATGCCATGCTAGCCGCGAGCCTCTGATACAGAATGATAAATACAAATTATTTAAAGTTTTTATTTATGTGTTATTATTCTTATATAATCTTTTTGTAAATAATATACTACTTTTCTATTGTGATAGCAGTAAATTGATCCTCCAATAGTGTTTAATTTGTCAGATAGTTTATTTTCACGGTCAACTTGTGTGTATATAAATATATATAAATATATACAGGCTTGTATTTTCGTCATTTTAGGGGCAAGGCCATTTGGTCTTTGGTGTCACACATTTTTTCAGGGCGGAAAGGCCACATGCCAAGGCACAAAGGCCATTGAGGGAAACATTTGGATTTGGAGCTTAAAAATAAATAACTTCACTTTCTAATGACAAAAAACAAATCACTTTTTTAATATCAATAATCGTATCATCATATAGGCCTATGCCTCCTTAGTATTAACGTATCTAAAATGAAATACTTTACTTTGAATAATTAGTGTTTGGTATGTTTTCCATCTACTACTTCTCCCATTCACAAATCCGAAATGAAATCTAAAAATCAAAAATTCTATTAATATGTAACAAATATATTCAATTTCAGAGCAGAAGAAACAGCCTTCAAGGGTCAAACTCTGCACATACATCATTCAGCAGTGCACAGTGAAGCTCCAACATCCAACTGTATGAACAAGCAATACTTTGAAATGCAAAAGTGTGTGTGTGTGTGTGTGTGTGTGTGTGTGTGTGTGTGTGTGTGTGTGTGTGTGTGTGTGTGTGTGTGTGTGTGCGTGTGTGTGCGTGTGTCTCTTTAATCAACTCCTCACAGCTCCTCATATCTGTTCAGAAACTGAACAAAAGTTAAAGATGTACAAACCACAGACTGTCTGTGTCATGACGAATACAGTCGCTGCTTTAATTCTGTCTTTAGGACGTTGTTGTGAGTTTGGACGGAGCAGCTACAACGTTAGTTTAGCCTGATCGATCCAATCTCCATTCACAAAACACGCATTTTAAAAGGTTTTTCGCATGCCGTCTTGTCTGCACACTTGTCAAAGCATTAAAGCATGGTTTTTACTAATCGTTATCAGTATTTAGTTACTTCGGCATCATTTTGAAACGTGTATTACAATGAAATCACAGTAAAATAGGTTCATTTGGTCGTAGTTGGTTTCCACCACAGTATTTACATGGATATAAGCCCCGCCCCCGCTCCAGCGCGTCCTGTTTTAATGACAGGAGTAAACACAGCTGACAGCCGCGGTGAAACTCCAGCGGTTAGAGCAATGCGAGTATTCGCATCGTGTCCGTTGTGAACGCAGCATAATGCAGTTCAGAAACCACTGTTCTGACGAAGGCCATGGTGCCGTAGGACGTACAATTATTTGTGGGGCATAACCCATAACGGCCAGACTGAGGGGCTACGACGGCCATGGCCGTCATGGCCGCCGTGAAAATCCCACCCTGTATATATATTTATTTTTCTGTTTATTTTCTATTATATTTTAGAATTTGTTTATTTTCTGCTCTTTTTAATGTCTAATTATTGTGAAATGCTTTGTTTTATATGCTTCTGTAACGAAATAATGTGAATGTTAGCCAGAAGAAAGTTATCTGGATAACTGCTCCTTTGTATAAAGTGAGGCTGACCAACCAATATGGGCATGTGTTATTATTTACATTACATGTCATTTGTTAGACACTTTTATCCAAAGCGACTACTTTGGACAATCCCCACAGGAGCAATTTGGGGTGAAGTGTCTTGTCCAGGGACACAACGACATGCTGACTGCAGTGGGACTCGAACTTGCTACCCCCTGATTCAAAGTCCAGACCTAAATTGTATATAGGCCAGTTGTGAACTTGCATACAGCTGAGGCAGATTGCAGCAGTTATTTTGGCCTGACTGTATATACATGTTTTTGCTTGTAATGTGCTAATATCTACCCTATAATTTTCCAGCTGCACTTGAGAAATACCTCAAAAAGCCCCCAGTTGCTGGAGAAGGAACATCTGATCTCCCATGTACATCACACTCTGAAGAATGTAAGTGTTGCCAAACATTTATGGTCTCTGTGTAATCGTTAATACACTACTTTTTTGTCATTATTATTATTGTTATTATTATGATAAATAATGAAAACTGAAGCATGAATAACTTCTTTGCATGTTTGGATTGCCTGCCTGCAGGTGAAGGAATAACGAGCACAGTATGTGAGTCCACCATTGCAGCCCCCTCAGATCCTGCTGACTGCCCAGGCCTATCTGAGTCCAACATTGCAGTCCCCTCAGATCCTGCTGACTGCCCAGGCCCATCTGAGTCCAACATTGCAGTCCCCTCAGATCCTGCTGACTGGCCAGCACGGAGTGATACAGTGAAGATGGAGTTAGTCAGACGAGGGCCATATCATTTAAAATCCGACTTCACTTTTCCTAAAAAGGAGGACGGGAGAAGTTGCCATCATCACTACTTTTACAGAAGATTAGTGAATGAAGAGACAATCAAGAGGAGCTGGGTTGTGTATTCCAAGAAAAACAAATGTATTTACTGCTTTTGCTGCAAGTTGTTCTCCCAAAAAGAGTACCAACTAATCAGCAGTGGACTAAATGACTGGAAAAATTGCACTGACAAACTAAAAACACATGAGAACAGCCCAGAACACTCTGGGCACATGACGTTGTGGAAGGAACTGGAGACTCGACTTCAAAAGGGCCTAACTATAGACAAGGTAGAAATGGCACTTATGGAGGCTGAAAAGAGGAAGTGGCGTGAAGTCCTGACCAGGTTGGTGCCAATAATTCAGTCGTTGGCAGAGCGAAACATTGCCTTTAGAGGGACCACAGAAACACTTAACCTGCCAAATAATGGCAACTTCCTGAAGGAGGTAGAGCTCATGGCGAAGTTCGACCCAGTCCTCAAACAGCATGTTGCTGAGGTCCAAAGAGGAACCACCAATATTTCCTATTTAGGAAAAATAATTCAAAATTAACTGATAGATTGCATCAGTGGGAAGATTGGGGACCATATGGTCAATGAAATCAAACAATCCAAATACTTTTCAATTATTTTGGATTGCACCCCAGATTTGAGCCAGAGCAACTATCAGTCATTATTCGACTAGTTACAACCCAGGACACACCCCAAATAAAAGAACATTTTATGATATCCCTTTTGAAGACTGTAGAGGGCAGTCTTATGATAACGGTGCAAATATGAAAGGAAAGAGGAAAGGAGTCCAAGCCAGACTTCTTCAAATCAATCCAAGGGCTTTATTTGTGCCATGCGGAGCACATACATTGAACCTGGTGGTAGCTGATGGAGCAAAAAGCTCTGCAGAAGCAACTAGCTACTTTGGCTACCTGCAGAAGCTTTTCACACTCTTTTCTGCCTCCACTCAGAGATGGTCCATCCTAAAAAGCCATGTGAACATCACATTGAAATCATGGTCTGATACCAGATGGGAGAGTCGGATCAACAGCATAGAGGCTGTAAGGTATCAGGCTGCAGAAGTCAGAGATGCACTTCTAGAGGTGAGGGATAAAGCCACAGATGGAGTTGTAAGAATGGAGGCACAATCTTTGGCTGAAGAGGTTGGATCATACCGCTTTGCAATATGCACTGTGGTATGGTATGACATCCTGACCAACATCAAACATGTCAGCAAAATGTTGCAATCAGTGTCAATGCAGCTGGATATTGCTGTTGACCTCCTGAGAAAAACAGAAGTTTCTTTGGTCAGCTACAGAAGCAATGGATTTGCTTCTGCCCAAGCATCTGCCAAAGACATCTGTGGCCAAATGAATGTGGAAGCTGTTCTCAAGCAGAAGAGGCTGAGAACAACCAAGAGACAGTTCTCCTATGAGTCCCCGGAGGAGCAAGTGAGTGATGCACTAAAGAAACTCGAAGTTTCTTTTTTCAATATGGTGGTGGATGTTTCCATTGCATCACTGCAGGAGAGATTCAAGGCCTTAGGTGAAGTAGAGCAAAAGTTTGGGGTGCTACTCAACTTCCCTGACCTGCCAAAGGAAGATCTGACGAAGCAGTGTGAAACACTCAGCAACACCCTGAGCTGGGGTGGACAGTCAGACCTGGATAAGAGGGAACTTGCACTGGAGATGCAGAATTTCCCAGCTTTGCCAAAAGCCAACATGACCACCCTGGAACTTCTGACTTTCCTACAGGAGAAGAAAATGAACGAAGTGTATCCAAATATGTGGGTGGCCCTCAGGATCGCTGTCACTATTCCAGTGACAGTTGCTGCTGGGGAGAGGAGCTTCTCCAAATTGAAGCTCATTAAAACATACCTGAGGTCGTCAATGGCTCAAGAACGCCTCAATGGATTAGCTTTAATAAGCATCAATCGCGAGGTTTCGGGGCAAATATCATTTGACGATACAATAAATGAATTTGCAGCAAGGAAGTCCAGACGTGTCCGACTTTAAGGATGTGGACTAATTAAAGGACACAATAACATAGCAGAGACTTGTTGTTCTGATTGCCTGTTTCATTTGATTTATAGTGTGTGTAATGTTGTTCATTATCTTAATTTATTTGCAATAACCTTAGTTGTAAGAGCTCCGTTGGCTATATTTGTGTCCACGTTTGCACTTTCTTTTCTTAAAGTTTTAAGAGAAGCTACTTTTGTTTGAGTGATTTTCATTTAATAACTACAATATTAATAATAAGGATAAAATAAATAAATATGTTACATTTATTTGTTATTGGCTGTGGGTTATTGGTTATGTTCACATACTTATTTGGTTATTAAAATGTAAACCGATCTTTTTCATATGGGTGTTTTAGAGTTGTACCTCCTATCAGGTCTCTTGTAATTGTGTGCTCAAAGTGCACCAGATTGAAGCATTTTACGGGGGGGCATACCCCCGGACCCCCCTAGAGGATGTGACATCCACCCCCCAGTTAAAACATGTTCATACAATAATGAATACATTTGAAACCTTTATGTATATTACCTATGTCAATAAGTTTCTGTTTTTGTATTGTATTGGTCTTTTGTAGAGATTTTTCATTTATTCTTTATATATTCTATTGTGTATTGCTTGGAGGGGGGGGGGCACCAAATCATAATCTCGCCTAGGGCACCAAAATGTCTAGGGCCGGCCCTGGGATCATACCTGTGTTTAGTCTAGAAAAAGGTAAATGTGTGCATTTTATTATAAAGTTGTGTATATTTACAGGCTGTTGCAAAAACTAAGAAGCTTATAAACATCAGGTTTAAAACTAAAAGAGCTTTACAAAAAAGTAACACAATGAAAGATGTTTGGAGTTTTATTTGAGTTATTAATTTACATTTTTGGTCTAAGGGATGCTGATTTGAAACCGTTGTTACATGTTGTTACGACATTTCCTGTTTCTGCCGGAGAGAGGGGAGGCCGTCCCAAAGCTTGCTGATGTATTTACTCCCTCCATCTGATAGGAGGGAGCCTCGTTGAGCTGCGAGTGTGGCTACAGACGGAGTTCACTCCGTCACGGAGGGATAGGGTCGAGGGAGTGGTTTGGGATTGGGCCAGAGTTTCCCCTTTGGGATTAATAAAGGTTCATCTCCATATACGTTGTATATGTTCTGTTACTCTGTCCTTTTATCTCAGTTCTTTTGAAGAAATGTTCGACTGTAATGATCTTTATTTTAGATTCTATAGAAGTTTAATCAAAGTTAAACAGTTGTAAGTGTGTGTTTGTACTGGTACGGTGTATTAATCAAACAGAGTTTCCCCTTTTGGGATTAATAAAGGGTCATCTTTATACTTTGTATATGTTCTGTTACTATGTTCTTTTATCTCAGTTCTTTTGAAGAAATGTTCGACTGTAATGATCTTTATTTTAGTTCTATGGAAGTTTAATCAAAGTTAAACAGTTGTAAGTGTTGAGTGTGCTTGTGAGGTTAAACGTTTTGTTTTTGCTTTAAAAAAGAGATAATGTGAAATGTGTTGCATTAAAAAAATATCAAAAATCTGAGTTTTAGGCAGAAGTGACGTAACCTGCCACCCAGGACAAGAGACGAGCATGAATACATAATTTTCCCACACAAATATCATAAATATAATATTTTGAGAATTCATAACTTTGGAGGACAGCAGGCTATTACCAATAATAATTTAAAAAAAATGACATCTCACAAGAAGAAATGCACAGATGGGATTTAACACTCAGAAAGCCACTGAGTGACACACACAGTACGAGGTTTATTTTTTTTTTAAAGGGGGAGATTTTTTTCGAGTGTGCTCCGGATTCCTGCAGGACTCCAGAGTCGCGAAGAGCCCATGCAAAATTAAATTAAATGTGTCTACTTTTATGACCAGATGTAGGCCTACAGTCAGTTGCTGCAAAAGTGGCCGACTTCTCATCCACGATTACGTCACTTCCGCCGCCTAAAAACCCAGGAACGATCTAGCACTACCCCGCAAGAGGCGTTGTTGCCAACTTCTCACACTGTGTTTTGTGTGTTTAATATCTTCACCGGTGGGGCGCCGACGGTTACTGAACCTCTTATCGGCGTCTGGGGAAGACATACAAATAACTGTATATTCCAATATTTGGTTACATTTAAGGAAATTGTAAACGGGTATCTGGTTCACGACTAACACATAACCCGCCCGTGACCGTCTAGTTCTCAATGTTGGTCACATGACGTTTGACTGGGTGCGCCCTGATAACAAACGCACCCTTCTCACTTCATAGACAGACATGGCTACCACGGAAGTGGGTGAGTAGCTCAAAAACTGAATGCTGTTTGGGTTATTTATTTCATACTCAAAGGCATCATTAACATACGTTTACAGCAGTTTGTTAGGGTATATTTAATTTAGCAGTAATAGTAGTATTTAGCAGTTAAAGGGACCCTTGTACAGACTGTTTTCTCCATGTAAAGCTCCTCTAAAGCTAACAGCTAGCTTAGCTAGACGCACCAGTAGCTGAAGCAATGCTGCCCTTCCTAATATATGTCTTAATTCATTATTAACGTTTTAGGTCCGAATGATTTACAATATTCGAGTCTTAAATTTCCCCTTAATATATTTCCTATTGTTTCCTATTTAAAACTAACCAGGTCTTGAAACCATTAACTGTGTTGCCCCCTTCATGTTCTCTCTTACAATGTACATGTTTGGTTCTTATTATACATGAGAGGGACACAATACAAAAAACTCCTTTTTATAGACTGGAAATGTGTAAAATATGACAGGAATCTCTATCCTTGGTTAATCTATAGACAAATCAAGATATGTGTCACATTGATGCAAAAAATATGTGAAAATCCATCATTGCCATGAAACAGTATTTTGAATTGATTTGCAATATTGCCCACTGTGGCTCTAACTGTACATAACCAGAGATAATACAAGGATACATCCACAGTATAAACAACATAAACTCTCTGACAGTTTACAAATATCTGCATGTATGTCTTTATATAAACAGTAATACCGTAAAGGTTATTTGGCTTAATGTTCATGTATTTCTTTCAGAGCATAGACGTGGCCAGCTGGCCTCTCTGTCCATAGCAGCGGTGGTCATCATCGTGGGAGTCCCTCTGTGGTGGAGAACAACTGAAACGTACCGCGCCTGGTTGCCTGTCAGTCAGATAAATGAGTTGGCCAATCTGCAGGTTTGATCACGCTTCTTGCTATTAACTACATGTCTTCCGCCTTGTTAGCCATATTATCTTGCATGTGTACATGAGTACCTTTTTACAATCTTTGTGTTTCTTTTTTTTATTATAGCTACAGTTGAGTGCTGATGTGGAGGTTGTGTTTGCACGTGGAACGGTGACGCCTGAGCAGCAGAAGAAGGTCCCGCTGACAAAGACACAGGATGAAGAACACACAGTGGATGGTGAGTTATTCATCAATGCTGGCTGTGAACTTGTGATTAAAAATAAGAAGACTCTAAAGCACTTATTGTCTTCTGTTTACAGAGGACACAGCTTTGCGGTACAGGTATGAGACAAAGTACCGCACAGCTAATATCATGGAGGAGGATGCGCTGAACCAGCCCTCTGCTGCAGGTGAGAAGCTGCCTGCCTTTCAAATCTAGTTGACAGATAGTTGGTATCTCAGTGTGATAGCACAGGTTGTAATTTCTCTCCGTCTCATTTGTTCTTCTTCTTTAGACGCAGATCTTTCTCTGCACACCCTCAGTGAGAGCCTGTGTGGCTCTTTGGTTGTGTACGTGATCCCAGAATCATCTTCACTGCTGCCTGAGGTTTAATTCGCATCTTTTACATTTACTTCTCTTTCTTTGTCTTCATGTGTTTGGCTTTAAAGAGGACTGTTTGGCCATTTCCTATTCTTAATTCCCTTAGTTTGTATCTGTGTGTGTGTTTAATGAAAATCTGTGTGTAGTTTTATGCTTTGATAAAAGGTGAAATAAGCGAGGTGATGAATCACTGTGTAGTCAAGTAGCCTTTTTTTATCTATCATCTAGCCATTGCTGCTTAGAGTCTAACTCCTAAATACAGTACCTATTGTACAGCTTTTCACATATTTATGAATCCTTTTTGTCCCTGGATTAGTAGAATATAAACTAAAATACCCACACGATCTGTACCCCCATGCCTCTCAGGATGTGGACGTGTATATTGGTCAGAGACGGACAGCCCTGCTGCGTAACGGTGCCCAGATGAGAGTGGGAAGGACGATAGAGCAATTGCTGGCTCACCTGGAGCCACGGATAAGGCAGGTGCTGAAGGTGATGTCTTTTAGCCACACGGACATCACCGCGGCCCTCAGCGGCAGAGTCCGTCTCAGCCCTGGCAACAAAGAGAGCATCGCTGACAGCATGAGGGCCTTTAAATCCAGCCCAGGTTGGTGTTGTTTAAGCACAGCCATAAAGTGAACCAACTGTATTTTTCCAGTCAGTTTATAACTCAATTACCTAAACACTGGTGTCCATTTCATCTTTAGGTTATGAGATAACCTTCAGTCTGTTGAACCCAGACCCAAAGTCACACCGGCTACACTGGGACATAGAGGGGGCCGTGCAGACCTACATCCAACCTCTGCTCACAAAACTGGCCCCTGTGGCCAATTTTAGCATTGACTCTCAGGTACTTCTTGGGCAAGTGTGTGAATGTGCACAATGACACACTGCTCAGCTACTGTATGTTCATAAAAATATTTGTCTTTTACAGACATTATACTATGCCATGCTCGGTGTCAACCCACGATTTGACAGCAGCCGCAACGCCTACACACTCAACTCTGACAGCCTGGCTCATGTCATCAACCCTGTGGAGGCTAGACTGGGTAAATGAAACACACACACTAAGTGATTTTTCAAATGTTTGCCAAAAAAAGAAATGTGGTGTATTAATACAATATATAACCGTTTTTTTTTTTATAATAAGGCTCAAATGCTGCATCTTCCAACCCGGTGTTGAATTTTCTTCTGTACGCCCCGGATGCCCAGCATTCCCCCCTTTACATTCAAGACCGCCAGAAACAGAAAGTACCTTCTAACG